ATATATAAATTTTTGTTAAACAAAATTTTCTTATTAAAAACCAATTATTTATTTAATAACTGAAAAAAACTCACAAGTGGCCAAATTCATTCCGTTTCTTGTAGAGTAAATATAAATCTTTGACTTTTCAAGATCATTATCAAAATCATTTTTCGCGTAAATCGCCAACAACTCTTCATCTTCGGTAACTTCAACAAGAACAGGTTCATAATTCCAATCAATTGGACAATTCGTTTGAAATTCCAGAGTTTTAATTATCCAATTTGTTAGTTGAAAAGTTTTATCATTAAATAAAATCAAATTTCCTTGAGTTGTTATGAAAGAGTCACAAAAGTAAGTTAATTCAAACATTGAAGTACAATTCCATTTTATTTCAGGATTTGAATCAGATGGAATTGTTGGTGTGAAGACGTATGCTCTGTACGAGGGAAAATTTGAAACCACTATAAAGTCACCGTTTATAGTGAACTCAGATCGATCAATGACGTTTCGAGAGTTTGGAAATCGGAGGAATGGTTTTTTTTTAGTAGAGATTTCAAATATTTCTTTATAGCAAAAAGAAAATGTTAATAAAGTGATTATATTAATTAATTAATTAATTAATTAATAACTTTTAAAACTTTTTTTTGTTACCAAAATTAAGATGATAAGAATTTGTCTTTATGACAACGTGCATATTATCAGATACTGCAGATAATGTATCAGGTTCAGTAATACTTGTCCTTGAAATTTCATTTTCATATTTTAAATGTTGTTGTCCGGTGATTATCGACCATAAAATAACAGATTTATCTTCGTTACTCCACGTGCCCACATATTTCATTTTGGGAGAACATATGATCTTGGAAATTGGTTTACCATTATGTGGTCTCTCCATTGAGAGATGACGGCTGTGACGGCCGGAAGGGATGTGAAGTATCGTGTGTTCATCTTGGGTTTGAAATAGGGATGTGAATTTTGGTTTAGTCGTAGAAGATGTGGAAGGCTCCATAATCTTCTTTTTTTTTTTATATATTAAATTACTTTTTCAAA